AGAAGTGAATTCAGACTTCAGACTTCAGCACCTCTTAAAAAACAAACGCCACCTTAGTCAGCGATTTAGATATCCGGAGAAAGAAATTGAACCTTGAAACCGATTTACCAAGAATCCGGTTAAATCTTGAACTGAGATGTGCGATTTACCTTTTTATCCGTTCAAGCTTTGTGCGAATCCGGACAATTATCCGGTTAACCTGTGACCGAATTTGATGAATCTTGATGAATCTTGATGAGGCTTATGAACGATATGGTGTGATGAAGAAGAACAAAGTCTGTATGGGTTGGGAAAAAAAACTATGGGCCTAAATCGGTTGGGTCAAAGAACAAATGTTTTGAGCGACTTAGAGAAAAAAGAAACACAAAAAACAAAAGAATTTAAAAAAAATTGGATCAAGAACACAAAGTTTTTAAAAAAAAGAAGAAAAAAAAAACCACTAAAACCGATTAAATCTTGGAATATAATGATCAAATCACAAAAATTTGTGAATAATAAAGATTCACAATTCAATTCCGAGCATTTTGATCATGATTTAAACACAAAAACACAAGATTTTTAAAAAAAATTGGATCAAACTAAAAGAAATTAAGAACACGATCAAGAACAAGATGAAATTCAGAACAAAATTCCAGAAAATCTCTTTACAGAAAGTGATTTCTTCTCTTTGATTTCTTGCATTTCAGCTTTGATACCAATTGTGTGTCCCTACTAATCAATCTTCACACTTCTATCAACAATCCATGACATAATCTGGATATTTCTTGTAAGAACATCAAGAACACTTAAGATGAATATTGAGAGAGAAWGTCAAACATTCAAAACTCTAGTCAACTCTCTATTACGTATCAGATTTACAAATGAGCTCCCTTCTCTTCATTTACAAAGACATTACCCTATTTATAGGGTCAAACCTCTWAACACAAGTCAAAGTCAAACCTGCCTAAGAAAAGTCAAACACGATGACTTTTACAATTATAGACAATATTTAACTTTCAAGACGAATACAATTTAATACTGATTTTCAGTCCTAACATCATCTCTCTCTCTAACCTAATTCTTACTTCAAGCATCTTCTAGCTTAAGTAAAAGATCTTTCTTTTAGCAACTTCTTTTCTTGTAATTGCTAAAGCTTTGTGTGTAACCAAAGATTGTTTAGATATGTTTTTATTACCTTATCTTTTCGCAAACAATCTTGTAAAATATGTATTGATCTTCTATATCAATATATATCTTAAATTTGAAAATACTTTGTTTATATTCATCCCCCCACTTCTACAAACTGTTTCTTTTCTTGTAGACCCTCACGGGACCAAGAGATCGGTTCATCTTCGTTGATGTCTAATTCAAAGTCAAAGTAGATTCCAGTTGACTCATCAATATTATCTATGTCTTTGCCATAATTTTGAACACCACCCAGTGTCTTTGAAAATACATCATTAAAACCAACATTGTCAGACAAATCCAATAACAACCTTTTTTCTACTATGGTGTCCGCCGTCTTTTCAACCATTGGCTCGATCGTTGGATTTGTCCCCACAGCTATCACCTTTTCAGATGTTCTCTGCTGGTAGTTATTTATTATGAACTTTCTCGTACAAGACTTTCTACATTGATAGTTTCAGAATCAGGCTCCCTTGCAACAACTTCAGCACGAACTGTCGACTCAGCCAACCTCTGTCTTTTCCTCTCCTGCTCATGATCATCAGGATCATCCGAATCATCATGCCTTCGTTT